CGATAGACTTTTACTTACCTCAGGCCGCCGCGCGCCCCACCCACAACCAGTCCGAGCGAGCCGTCAACCTCGTGACGACACATCGGCTAAGGCCAGGTAGGGACGGTCTTTTCTTCTTACTTCGTTTTGACCGCGACTGGCAGGACATTGGAGTGGTGGGCGGACGTGTTGCAGATGGACGTGCAGGGGCCCTAGTCGTGCAACTTCTGGCTTGCGTTTCAACCGTCCTCACCTGATCAGACGCCGCCTCATCAAACTGGGGTCCGAGCATTTGCTCCTCCAGTGGATGCGCAAACCCTCCGCGGGAAGTCCGGCGCTCGGAGTGCTTCAGAACCCTAACTCCTACCTGAACCCTACAAGTATATGTAGAATAATAGCATTTTATAGGTTTTTTGGGCCATTGTTTTGCCTACTTTTGGGGGTTTAGGTAAATACAGACTGAATCTCTCCAGCTGAGCCAAAGATCAGATCCGCGCGAGAGCGCTGTTACTCAATCCTTTTCAGAATTCTATTATCCTTACGCTAAGCGTACATGCTCCCACATGATAGATACTTTGGCCCTTACGTACCTATCTAGGGACTACTTTAAGCCAAAGTTGAGAGCAAAAGAGTACATGGACCTACTACCGCAGAAGCCCTACGCTAAACCCTAAACCCTAAACCCTAAACCCTAAACCCTAAACCTCCCGCAGAAGCCCTAGAGCAAGCCGCTGTCCGCACTTGCAGTCGTGGCGCAGCCCCCGTCGCCCTGCCCTGGTGCAGAGCCACCGTTGCCGCTGAAGGCATTTTGCTGCAAGTCTAGGTTCAGGGTTTAGGGTTTAGGGTTTAGGGTTTCAGGAGTGCTTGGAGGTTCATGGGTAGTTAGCAGTGGGGGTTAGAAGCAAGGTTAGACTATCTGTAACTATAGTTATCAAGCGTCTTAGGGGACTCCTAACGCCACTTCTCACTACCCATGGACCTGTAAGTGGTTGTTAAGACAGTCTAAAGCTTCAACCAACTGCCACATGGACTTCGTGGCAGATCTTCAGGGCCATCGCTTTGCATTGCATCCATCTCTAGTGTGACGACATACCCCGAGGCTCCGAAACGACTCAAGTAAGGCACACGCCTGAACTCATAGAGGGAGTCTGGTCATAGTTTGAGGAACATTGCAGGTCAGTCGAGGGACTGCGCTGCGAGTTATTCCGCTGACCGTGCTGAGATAGGTCGGCGAATGCAAGGCATGCCCAACGTCACATGAAGAATCGGCAGTACTGTAGGGACCAACATAATAACCAATACTATGTTAGGGCTCCTGATTACAATTATAGTATCATGTGCCCAAAGACCCTATTCTAATTATTAAGGCAGGCCTCTATATTACAACGTACATAAAAGCTGGTAGATTGGCTACACAACCCTGCGAAGCTGTCTTGAAATCCTACACTCATCGAGCTTCAGCTTCAAAAGTCATCAAAGCAGGTGCCGGGTGCATGTCCTCCGAGCATGGTGAGTGCATCTGCGTCAACCTCTTCAGCTGGCAGTGGCTTGTCGTTTGCTGGTTTCGGTCAGTGTAGGATGGAGGGGCTGATTTGCTTTTCTGGGGTTTAGGATTCCAACTACTGTACGGGTTTATGGTTCTAGGCTTTGAAGATGTATATGGATGGTTGTCAAAATTACGGTCCCTTTTTGGGTCCTTAATATAACACGGCACCTATTATTTAGGGTACCCCAAAAGGGACCATAATTTTGACAACTACCCATATAGGATCTGTTGAAGCAGGGGCTACCGTGCAGACTTAAATCTGTAGGGCCTAGGAGACTGGGGCTCAGAGTATGGGTTAATCTCCTAAGTTAAGGGTTTGGGGTTTAGGGTTTAGGGTTCCCTAAACCCTAAACCCTAAACGGCTGAGACGAAGGATCCTTGGCGAAGGATCCGGTTTTCAATAGCTTCGTTTCGTGGGTCTAGGGTGACAGAGTCCTCAGACCTCATGATGCTCGAAGTAATGCAGGGGCCTAAATAACTACCTATATTATTTTTGGGGTTCCTTGTTATAAGTATAGCATAGTATACCCCCAAAACCCTGTTCTAGTTAAGGCCCCGATACCATGTTGGCGTAGTAAGCATGTCCAGCACCCTCCTTCTATTCAAGGTTAGAAGTATGAGCCCCTAGTATGGACCCGTAGGCCTTTCTAGGGACCCTCAAGGGTACCTATATAGGTATATAGTAGGGGTATAAGGATCCCAGGGTTAAGGGCCCATACTAGGGCGCCATGGTTTCAACCTTAGATTCTGGATGACGGGGCTGCCAAGGGTTCGTCTTGCACTGGAGCTGTACTATAGGGGCCTCAATAATTACCTATACTAGTTTGGGTGGTCCTTAGTATAATCATAGTATGATGGGCACCAAAACCCTATTCTAATTATCAAAGCCCCTAAATTCGGTTCAGGGCTTACCTTAACCCCGAATAACCTACCGTTTTAAGGACGTATACAACGAAATCATAGTAAGAAGCCCTAAAAATGTAAGTCCTTTGGGGTCCAGGTAGGTCTTAGGACCAGGCTTCCCAACTGCGATCTCGGAGAGCCCGCCCTGCATGTGGGTAGTTTTCTATTTAAATTAGGGTCCCTTTTTAGGTCCTTTTTATAAGGGTGCCGTACTCTACTGGGGACCCAAAAAGGGACCCTAATTTAGAGAACTACCCATGTCCTTCTTATCTTGGGCGCAGATCCAGTCCATACCAAAGTGCCTGTCGCCTTAGCCGGGCTCTTGTTAAGGAACTTAGTTTAAGTTACCATAATAGGGATCTATAGCAGCTGTAAGGTTATGATTATTATGGTAGCTTGAATTAGACCATTAGACCCCTTAGCACCCTAAGCCCTAACCATCAAACCTAAACCCTTAGGTGCTGGCTTCAGCCCTTCGTGGCACCAGGCCTCTGCCAAGGTCTGATACATCCGGGGGTCCTTTAGGGCTGAGAGCTTGATGGGCGAGGGTTGAGGGTTTATAATGTAGGGTTTAGGGCGTAGGGTTCTGGCACAGCTTGGTCAGTGAAGCTCCGGATTCCCATCGTAACAGCTTTGGGGCGCAACCCTATGCAGAAGCCCGGGCCATACCAAATGCCTTGTTCTAAGCTTCATTCGACCTACTCAGGACGAAGCAGAGTAGAGAGGGGATGGACATGGGACTTCTGGAGGTAGCTCCAGGATCCTATTTAGGGTTTAGGGTTTAGGGTTTATTGCATGTTCCAGGACTTGAAATAGGGACATCGTAATCAGGAGTCCCAAACAGTAGGCTTTTCAGGTACGGCTGAGGATGTTGGTGACACATAGGCCGGACTTGGATTCGCAGTAGAATCCCCTGGCAATTTGTGCGTTTTCGTGGCAGAGACAAGGACATAAATCACTGTGTCAACACGGTACCGGCCCGTTGCAGGGATTGACATCGATAGCAGCAACATCGACATTAGAGTTTTGATGACTCGCTGAAGCAACATCGCGAGCAATCCTGGCAATACTCGTGCCAAAAGAGCTTTGAGAATAGGGACTGAAGGTACTTAGACCTTATCAAGAATGGTTGTTATGTTTACTGCGGAAAGGACCCCTACATCCCAGAAACCCTACACCCTAAACCCTAAACCCTAAACCCTAAACCCAAAACCCCACACCCTAAACCCTAAACCCTAAACCTAAGCCCCAAAATGTGAATCTTTCGACTGAAGGCATTCCCATGACAGCAGTGAACCAAGAGCGACCAGGACCCTCCAGGTACCCTCAAATAGGGGTATATGGTCCCAAATTGAGGGTATTTAGGGTTGAGGGTTTAGGGTTTAGGGTAGGGGGGGTATATGGTCCCAAATTGAGGGTATTTAGGGTCTAACAGAGGGTAGATGGAGGGTCTAGGGAGATACTCTTACAGGGTTTAGGGTTTAGGGTTTAAAGAGCACTCAGCCGCTGAAGCTTAGACCTGTACACGTGAAACCCTTGCCACCACCGGCCGAGCGGTGGAGAACTGAAAGGGACGTCTCAGAACTTCCCCAAACCCCAGGCCCTAAGCCCTCAACCCTAAAACCCGAGACCCCAAACACAGAATCCTGAATTCAAGCCCAAAAAGCCCGAAACCCCAAACACAGAATCCCAAAATTCATACCCAAAGCCCAATGTGCAGTCTGCTTCGTTGCCATCCTACACCTCGCCCTCAGCAGGGCGACTGCAAGGCGGCTTTAAACCTGGTTTAGGGTTCAGGGTTTAAAGGGGTTTAGG